CGGGGGGGCCCGCGGACGCTCTCACATGGCGCGGGAGCCGGGACGCTCCGGGGCGAGGCGGGGGGCTCGGGGCTACCGCCTCCCTCCGCGCGAGGGGGCGGCCGTGGCCCCGCACCCGCTCGCCCCGGCCGCGGGGCCCTCGCCCGCCCCCCGCAGCGACCGGCCCGCCGCTCCGCTCCCCTCCTCTGCCCTCGCCGGGGTGGCCGCGGCGGCTGGGGGCGATGAGCAGATCGCCCTTCCTCCTCCTCCTCCTCCTCCTCGCTGCGAGCTCCCGCGGCTGCGGGGCGCTGCTCCGGACAGGCGGGCACTGCGAGGGCTTCAGCAGGCAGCCCTGCCTCCAGGCGGGGTACCTGGCTCCATCTCTCCTCTCTCCCTCTCCGCCAGCGGCCCTAGGGCTGGCAGGGCCAGCGCCGCACTCTCTCCTGCCACCGTGCGTGCGTGTTTGCAAGGGCTGCCTCGCCCGCTGCTGCTGCTTCCAGACCAACTTTCTCGCCCCCTCGCTCTCTGTCGGCAGAGGTGTGTGGCGGATGCTTTTATACCGCCCTGCCTCCCTCCCCTGCTGTCCTCCCCCCACCACCCTTTTTGCTCCCCCCCTTTTGCGGTCTCCCTCTGTGCAGCTCCTGCCGCAGCCCGGTGTCGCCCCCCCGCAGCCCGCCTGCCCTCCCGGCCCTGCTCCCGTCCGGGGCTCTCACGCAGCAGTGGGCACCCTCAGCTCCTGCTCCCCTTGGAAAGGGAGCAGCACTCTGCACCCCAGCTCCTGCTCCCCTTGGAAAGGGAACTGCGCTCTGCACCCCAGCTCCTGCTCCCCTTGGAAAGGGAACTGCGCTCTGCACCCCAGGTCCTGCGCCTCTTGGAAAGGGAGCTGCGCTCTGCCCCTCAGCCCCTCTGAGCATTTCCACCATGGCCTGGCAAGAACCTGCTCGTACAGAAGTGTCACGTCCCCCTTTGGCAAGTTTGTGTCTCCTCAGCAGGGCACCAGACAAGGGAGAATCCAGGCCCCAAAGGTTTTCACACTTTTTACTTTATTTTTTCCTCAGTATAGTTGCATCCAGTCCGATGGAGTCAAACCTCTCTCTGAGTGTTAAAGATCTGTCTCAGTATAACAAGAACAAATGGAGCTCAAATAAAGTAAAATAAACTCCAAACATAAAGTTACGTAACAAAAATAGGAGTTTGGGAATTTCTGTCATTGTTCTCCAGTTCAGTTACCTGTAAGAACAGCAATATAAGCTACCCTAGTCTTGGCAAGTGTGTGAACGGGAGGCTTTGTGCCTGCTGAGAGACTGCATTCTCGTCAGGATGGCCAGATACAACACGGTGCTGTAATGGAAGAAACTGCTCCCTGCTCCAACCGTTCACAGTCTGACACTGATGTTCTCAAMGGGGTTTCTGTGACTTTGAGGTCGGAGCTCTCTTTCTGTACTTACACTCCTTTCAGGGTAGCGAGCAAGGGGTGCTGTGCCAGCACAGCACAGAGCCACCACGCAGACACCGAGTACTCATGCAAGTGTAATTTGGGAGCATTGCCACTGCAGCCAGCGTGCCAGACTTGCAGTCTTGCTGGGCAGCTCTGCTAGCAGTGTGGCGAGTGCTGGAGTGTCCCAGCCTTTTTCCCTCTGGAGCAGGGGAGCAGCACGTTGCACTCAGACAGGTCAGTGCCTGGGAGCAGCCAGTGCTTGTGGAAGGAAACTCCTGCACGGGTCTCAGTGCATCTCCTAGATAGAGCCCCAAGCGAGTCACAGCCCCCCGCATCCTCCAGGGATGTGTTTCTTGCTCTCAGTGACAAGCGTTGTAAACTGTTACACATCAAATGGCAATACACTCCAGATAATCATACTAGAATGTCATGAAAGATGTGACTGAAAGACAGAACCCTCCAAACCTTCACATTTAATGGTTTTTAATCCCCAAACCTGTTCTGTATTRGCACTGCCTTAGACGCAATCTGCACAGCCCGTCAGGCAGGATAAGGACTCTTGCTCAGCTGTCTTGAGGCTTAGAGCTAACTCTACCCACACTCAGGCTAAGGAAATTGCTTGTTAATTTATACRTGATATTCCCCCCCACAGAACCGCCTTACCGCACGTGCGCTAAGTCATGGGGATGCAAAGTGCCCCATCACTGCTGACCCTGGGTCTGCCTGGGGACCTGCAGCCCCTGGGGACCGACCATGTTATAAGGTGAGATGATGGCACTCAGGCTGCCCCTGAGCAAACTCGGTTGAGTTGTGACAGCAGGGACCATATTCCCAAGAAGGGGGTTRGTTGCATTGCCCAGGCGATGGGCGATGAAAGGGCAGAAAACTGTCCTCCAGGTTCTCCAAAATCAGAACCCATCTAGTGCCTGTCAGTGGATCCTGGCTGTTGAAAACTGGAAACTTGGCATGTGAGCTCTGTGTTTTAGAGCTTAATGCTGCAAATCAATGCCCAAAGAGAGACTGAAGGCTCATAATGCGAAACAGTCCAAGTGACAGCATGGTGAAAAACACACACACACGGATCTGCTGCTGAGCTCTGGGCAATGTAAGTTCTCCCTTGTCTTATGAAAGACTGTGAAGCAAAAGACATCTTTAATCCAGATGAGATGGGCTTGTGCTGGTGTGCATTTCCTCATGGGACATTAAGTTTTATGCATTAAATCCTTGTGCAAAGACAGTTAGGGACGCAGCAATGCTACCATGGCTGGTAAGGAGGGGGCAGCGGGAGCCCGAGGCCTCATCCCCCCAAACAAGCAAGCACAGAAGCGGCTCTTGTGGATGCTGGGGCTGCCCATGGAGCCAAGTCAGAGGGAACTGTGCTGAARTGGAGCGATCATATGTGCGTGCCGTGGGCGGACACTTCAGTTCACAAACACTGCTCAATTAGCATGTGGCTAAGGATTAATCCAGGCAACTGAGTCACAGCCTGTAGGRGAGATAGACCTGAAAGCAAAGCGAAAAGCTCCGTGTCCTGGCTGGGTGAGCACTGGCTCCAGCAACTGCTGCCCAGTCGCTGGGTAATGCAATGAGTTGTGGCAGGGAGGAGATTCATCCTCAGCCTGATGGGATGCTGCTCCCAGGATGTGGTTAAGGGCACCTAGCCAGGAGGTCAATCAGCAAGTGAGTCAGACTGTTGCTGGTGAGGTAAGTGAGGTGTTTCTTTGACAGCACCTCCTCTATTAAGGTTTACACTTACACCTCTTCCCACCCCCCCCAACTTGGAGCGTGGAAAGAAACAGCTYTTACCTTCCATTTCTCTTCCTCCAGGGATAAAGGTAGACACAGATAGTGCTCAGCATGTTGTGACACGTCTGCTGGGCCTGGACTCTCCTGTGCACTCCTGATGCTTCCCTAGTGCTGTGCTAACACACTGAGCCCAAGCCCCGTTAGGAAGGGTTCAACTTAATACGTTTTTCTCTTGCTGTAGAGCAAATGCAGATATGTGGCCACATAGCGTAACTCTGCTGATGTGACATGTTTTATTTAGATGYACATTGCACATCAGACATCAGATGTCCTGCCTCTCCCAAGCGCAGTGGGTCTAGCTCAGCTGGAAAAGGGGAAGCAGCCGTCCCTGCCGCAGCCTTGCCAACGTGCTCAGGTCTTCCTCACGCGGTGGTTCAGCCTCCTTCCCAATGGGGACACTTCAGGGGGACCCCAGCAGGGCCCTGGGTGGGAGACCGTCATGGAGCTGCTGGGAAAAGCACTATTGTCCCTTTCACACCGGACTGTCAGAAAAGCCCAGGAAGCAGCAGTCCATGTCCAGCCCAAGAAGCTGTTACTGGTGGTGAGTTCTGGCTGGCCTGGACCAGAGAGACACACAAGATTTGCAGTGTCCCCACTGGCACGTCCTGCAGTCTGGTATTTACATCTAGGCTGCCCTGTGTGACTACCCTGTGCCCTACCCAACGCAACACATCACCACGTAGGCACCCATGCTCGGGGTTACGAGCGCCATTCCTCAGACACAAGGCGTTATCTAACTGGAACCGAGCACCGCTCGGGGTTTGGGTGGTCCCACCGACTGAAATCCATAGTAAACAAGTTGGTTGTTATCCGCTCGAGTGTGAAAAATCCCTGTGACGGGAACGTGCTGCCCAGCAGCACCTTGGAAGCTGGTGTGGGAGCTGCTGGAGAGAGGAAAGAGAAATACAACATAATGTAATGCTAGGTGCTGCTCATACACTTTATCTCTGCAATGAGGAGGAGGCAGAAGTGGGAGCAACAGATTTACCTGCAATGGGAGCCACTGCCTTGTCTGTCAGAGAGCACCAAGGCTCAGCTGGGTCCTGGTTGTCCCAGTGATTAAAGGCTGGTGTTTACCTGTTTGCCAAGTTTTCCCTTTTATTCTCCATGCAGATACTCCTGCAGGCCCGTGACRTTCTGTCCGCACTCAAGACGGATAGTTTTCCAGCTGAGCATAGCTGCAGGAGCAGGGTCTGCCCTCCTTGGCGCGCTCCTCCCCTGCGCCTGCTCTCAGGATGCTATTGTTTTATCTTTAAGCCTGGGGGTTGCTTTAAAATTATCTGGGATGAAAACCTGGCTCCACTGAAGTCATTGGCAAAGCTCCCGTTGACTTCAGAGGAGCCAGGATTTCACCCTAAGACGCTTTGTAGATTATTGGTGAATGGAAAGCATACGTCTGGCTTCTCGAGGGTTATTATTGTTGGTGGTGACCTCTGCTCTGGTGAGCATTGAGCAAGACCCGGTTGAGACAGATGGCTAAAGCTTTCCCTGCCTCTTCCACTGCTTCCTCACAGACATTTTGCTTTACGGCTCATCATCTTGGATGCTGCTTATCAAGGAATACCTTCCTGACTCCTGCGGATGGAATTTAATGCCTGTTTGCCCACATTCCCCATCCCCCAAAGCCAGCAGATCAGCAGATAGGAGACAGAATGGCTGATTAGCTCCTAGCTGGAACCTCTTACTATAAGCTGCAAATGCACACACAAGGGTCGTCTTAAAAAAAAAAAAAGAGAAAAAAAAAGAAAAAGAATAACCTTCCCCTGCAGGCAACCTCAGTCTTTCTGTGATGCATGGTTCCTTTATCTCAATAAATTACAGCTTGAATAGCAACCACCTTCCTTTTAAAAGAACTGATTAGCTTAGAGGTCTCCGTTTGCCTGTTTCTCCTAGACCTGCGCTTTCCTTCCCGTCTGCATATTTTGCCACCAGCTGGGCCTAATAGCTGGGTCCAGATTTCTGATTTCTGCAGTGCCTTGTGTGACACACTGGAAACTCAGCAGCCACTTTATTAGAACTTGAAGCAAAAATGAAAATCTATAATGAATAACCTGATTTATGGAATATGGAAATGAAGAAAACAGTGCTTTTTCTCTCCCACTATTTAGGGKTTTTTTTTATTTAATACTAAATTCTGTTTGTTTTATACTCCTCCACATTTTCGCTTTTCAATGGGTTGCGCATTTTTGTACTGGTGATGTGCAACTGCGCTGCAGCATTTGCCAAGATGCCTCTGAACAGAAATGTGGGAATAAGTACACTGGGCAACACCTTTCCAAAGTGCCCAGAGAACATAAATTCCACTGACCATCACAAAAGCATAAGAGATTTTCTTTCCTTTTTTCTTTTTTTTTTTTCTTTTTTTGTGTCTTCAGAGAAATCCAGTGAAACCAGCAAGCCCCTTTCCTGCAAACGTGGCTATGCTGCTGCAGAAGTGCCTGCAGACGCCTGATGGAGTCACCTTGGTTGACTACATGTGGAGCTGTGCTGGTGCTGCTGCTGGTGGCAGCTCCGTCTGAGAGGTGGCCCAAGGCTCGACCAGGAGCAGGGARCAAGCAGCAGGCCTGGGCGTTTGGGTGTTGCATTGGCTCAGGTCTAGGTCACCACCAACAATAATAACCCTGACCGCTGGAAATGACATAAATCCCTGTAGGGGTCTGGATTCATTGGCCACTTCTGGATGTTTTGCCCTTTATTGGATGCCTGTTTCTGCCTAAAGTGKTCAGTCAATGTAGCAGATTAGCAGTTTATATATATATATGATTTTTAAACAATAGCACTAAATACAGCAATTCACACCTTCCAGATCCACGGTTTCCTCCTCTTTACTTCCTCCAGGGAAGTGTCACATCACTGCTCTGCAGCTGGCTTTTTTCTCAAGGCTGTTTTTGTGTGTAAGAGTGACAACGACAATGCTGAGGAACTTGATGAAGAAAAACACATC